TAAGGGCAAAAATCCCTGGCCTTGCCAATTTTGAACGGTTCAGGCGACGTGACAGGGGGTTCCCGATGGAACGAAGCCTGCATAATGTCAGAGGAAACAACTTGGGGTGCATCAAACTGGGGGTCAGAGAGAGATGGAGAACTGATAACAGACAATTTAGAGACTTGTGTTGTTAACTGAGTCACCTGGTTCAGCAGTTGATGATTATTTTCCAAAAGAGTCCGAATCAATTGGTCATGCTGTCCTAGCAACGTTCCTTGAGCCTGGATAGCTTGTTGGAAGCTGTCTTGGTTTGCCCCGTGCTGTTTCTCTGTTGGGTCCATGGCCAGATCGTTCTGTTACGCTATGGTTAAACCCAGCACTCAGAGAAACAAAACACGACTAAGGGAGTGGAAGAAACAAAAAAATATTTTAATAAAAGTTCAATTTGTCTTAGTCCAAAAACAACTGAAAAAAAGGAACAGAGAACGCTGGAACATTGTCTTTATATTTCAATCGAGCTGGAACTCGGATCCGCAATACTTCTGCGATACGGATTGAATCCAGCCCTAAATACATCATGTGATATACTGGGACTACTTGATTGTTAGCTGTTACTATTTAGCCACCATCACCATGGTAATAGCCACCATCACCATGGTAATAGCCACCATCACTATGGGTAAAGCTGCTCCGATATACAAACCGAAATCATTAGCCCTAAATACATGAATTTACCCCTGACTACTATATTCAGTATAACTTTAGTAAATATAGCACTGGAGTAAAATAAGCACAACTCTTTCTTTCTTTTACAGGATGTTGTGGATCAAAAACAAAAGAACAGAGTAAGTTTGTTTTCTTCTCTTTGCCACAAAAAGGTTATGGTGGATATTTGTCTTTCAAAATAAGAAAATGTATAATTGAACAGGGGGTTCAACAAACAAGGGTAAGCTTTTAATCTCTTAATGTAAATACTTTTACTGGATCATTATTTCAAAAGAGGACAATTGAGAGTTGGTAGATTTAAAATATGATATCTGATTCTTAAGGACTCAATATTTTAGTGTTTTATGTTATACATAGGGGAGGAAGTGTGTGTGTGGGGGGGGTCTCGTATTATCCATGCATGTTTTGTTTAATAAACAACAAAAACATAAAATTGATGGAAAGCATGTGCAGTTATACAGTATGGTCTGACAAATATTTCAGATGAAGAATGTTTATTTAAATTATTTAAGGAATATTCTATTGTTTTGGTGATATGAAGGTTATGACTCAACTGCAGAGCTAGACAACCCTTTACAGACAGAAACGCAGCTCAACCCATCTCCTAGAAATGGTGAGAAATATACTACATTCATACAAATGATGCTGTATATATTCTGGGTAAGCACCAACTTTGCACCAACTTACCCTAGTGCGGCATCTTATCCATGTGCATACAAATTAAGTCAGATGTATATTTTTGTTAATTACACAGTATCTTTCCCAGTTATTAGCTTTGTGTTCCATACCTCATTCTGGTTTATCATTGCAATTGTAGATGCATCAGTGAGATCCAGGAAGGACACTGCAGAGTTCGGTAATGCATCTCTTTTAAATACAATATAACTTCAGATAATATTCATATGAAATGTGAGACATAGAATTGCTATTTTTCCCCCATTTTTTCCCCCACCAGATATAAATAAAGCACGCACACATGAAGGTAATGCGCTCTGTCAACAGAATCTGTTTTTTAACTCAATAAAAATATTTTTTATCTGCCCTATATGCCTAATCTTTAAATCACTAAAGATGCAATTACAATGAAAATAATGAGTGAATAAAATATGTTGTTTTCCTATTCTCCACAGTGTATGTTACTCTGGATGTGGACACAGCTCACCCTAAGCTGAAGATAAATGGGAAATCACTACATTGGATAGGTGAATCATCGCAGAGAAACATTGACATTGAGAACTGTTTTGATGAAGAGCCTTTTGTGTTGGGCAATACGGGCCGTGCTTTGAAGACTTACTGGGAGGTGGATGTGAAGGAGAAGGATGACTGGGTGCTTGGCGTTGCCAAGGCAACGGCTCACAGGAAGGGGCCGTTGGCTTTCAGACCAAATGATGGCTTCTGGGTAATCAGACTATCCAATGGACAAAGACTTAAAGCCATGGAGGATGAAGAACGTGTTCTTGACGTAGGAATTCCAGATAAAGTCGGTATCTATCTGGATTATCCGGAAAGGAAGGTGACTTTCTTTAGTGCAGAAGATGGTTCCCTCATCCACTCATTTACCAATGGACCAAGTTATGAGGATGATGTCCTCCCACTTTTCTCACCCTGGAACAATGATCCAAAACCAATCACAATTTTGTAAATCACGGCAACATAAAAAAACATAATTCATCACATTCCCTGTCTGTCAATAGTTTATCGTGGTATAAAGCTATGTCAATCATTTTCGATTAAATACTATAAAGAATTGTGGATTCATCAATATTGTGAAGAACGGGCGGCAGGTAGCTTAGTGGTTAAGAGCGATGTGCCAGTAATCGAAAGGTCGCTGGTTCTAATCCCCGAGCCGACTAGGGGAAAAATCTGTTGATGTGCCCTTGAGCAAGGCACTTAACCCTAATTGCTCTGGATAAGAGCATCTGCTAAATGACTAAAATGTTGCGTTCCATATTCTTTATCAATGTATTATACATTCATTATTTCAGTAGTTTATTGTGTGTGACATTAAACAAGCATTTTTGTTTTAAAACATGAAATGTTGATTTGTGAAAAATACAGAATCTTATTTGGTATCTGAATGTAGATCTATTGATGACTAGGATTGAGAGAAACAACTACCTTCTACTGGCTTGTATGTAGTTGTTTTGACAAGTTTAATAATCCCCCATCACATAAAACCTTGATTATCTTTACAATGACCAACAATGCAAGCTACAGTACATTCAGAAAGTATTCAGACCCCTTTACTTTTCCCACATTTTGTTACATTGCAGCCTTATTCTAAAATGGATTAAATTGTTTATTCCCCTCATCAATCTACACACAATACCCCATAATGACGAAGCAAAAACAGGTTTGTAGACATTTTATCAAATGTACAGTGGGGAAAAAAAGTATTTAGTCAGCCACCAATTGTGCAAGTTCTCCCACTTAAAAAGATGAGAGAGGCCTGTAATTTTCATCATAGGTACACATCAACTATGACAGACAAATTGAGAAAAAAAAATCCAGAAAATCACTTTGTAGGATTTTTTATGAATTTATTTGCAAATTATGGTGGAAAATAAGTATTTGGTCACCTACAAACAAGCAAGATTTCTGGCTCTCACAGACCTGTAACTTCTTATTTAAGAGGCTCCTCTGTCCTCCACTCGTTACCTGTATTAATGGCACTTGTTTGAACTTGTTATCAGTATAAAAGACACCTGTCCACAACCTCAAACAGTCACACTCCAAACTCCACTATGGCCAAGACCAAAGAGCTGTCAAAGGACACCAGAAACAAAATTGTAGACCTGCACCAGGCTGGGAAGACTGAATCTGCAATAGGTAAGCAGCTTGGTTTGAAGAAATCAACTGTGGGAGCAATTATTAGGAAATGGAAGACATACAAGACCACTGATAATCTCCCTCGATCTGGGGCTCCACGCAAGATCTCACCCCGTGGGGTCAAATTGATCACAAGAACGGTGAGCAAAAATCCCAGAACCACACGGGGGGACCTAGTGAATGACCTGCAGAGAGCTGGGAACAAAGTAACAAAGCCTACCATCAGTAACACACTACGCCGCCAGGGACTCAAATCCTGCAGTGCAAGACGTGTCCCCCTGCTTAAGCCAGTACATATCCAGGCCCGTCTGAAGTTTGCTAGAGTGCATTTGGATGATCCAGAAGAGGATTGGGAGAATGTCATATGGTCAGATGAAACCAAAATATAACTTTTTGGTAAAAACTCAACTCGTCGTGTTTGGAGGACAAAGAATGCTGAGAGAACACCATACCTACTGTGAAGCATGGGGGTGGAAACATCATGCTTTGGAGCTGTTTTTCTGCAAAGGGACCAGGACGACTGATCCGTGTAAAGGAAAGAATGAATGGGGCCATGTATCGTGAGATTTTGAGTGAAAACCTCCTTCCATCAGCAAGGGCATTGAAGATGAAACATGGCTGGGTCTTTCAGCATGACAATGATCCCAAACACACCGCCCGGGCAACGAAGGAGTGGCTTCGTAAGAAGCATTTCAAGGTCCTGGAGTGGCCTAGCCAGTCTCCAGATCTCAACCCCATAGAAAATCTTTGGAAGGAGTTGAAAGTCCGTGTTGCCCAGCGACAGCCCCAAAACATCACTGCTCTAGAGGAGATCTGCATGGAGGAATGGGCCAAAATACCACCAACAGTGTGTGAAAACCTTGTGAAGACTTACAGAAAACGTTTGACCTGTGTCATTGCCAACAAAGGGTATATAACAAAGTATTGACAAAACTTTTGTTATTGACCAAATACTTATTTTCCACCATAATTTGCAAATAAATTCATTAAAAATCCTATAATGTGATTTTCTGGATTTTTTTTTCTCATTTTGTCTTTCATAGTTGACGTGTACCTATGATGAAAATTACAGGCCTCTCTCATCTTTTTAAGTGGGAGAACTTGCACAATTGGTGGTTGACTAAATACTTTTTTGCCCCACTGTATAAAAAAAATTAAAACGGAAATGTCACATTTACATAAGTATTCAGACCCTTTACTCAGTACTTTGTCGAAGCCCCTTTGGCAGCAATTACAGCCTCAAGTCGTCTTGGGTATGATGTTACAAGCTTGGCACACCTGTATTTGGGGAGTTTCTCCCATTCTTCTCTGCAGATCCTCTCAAGCTCTGTCAGGTTGGATTGGGAGCATTGCTGCAAAGCTATTTTCAGATCTTGCCAGAGATGTTCGATCGGGTTTAAGTCCGGGCTCTGGCTGGGCCAATCAAGGACATTCAGAGACTTGTCCTGAAGCCTGTGTGCTTAGGGTTGTTGTCCTGTTGCAAGGTGAACCTTCACCCCAGTCTGAGGTCCTGAGCGCTCTGGAGCAAGTTTTCATCAAGGATCTCTCTGTACTTTGTTCCGTTCATCGTTGCCTCAATCCTGACTAGTCTTCCAGTCCATGCCGCTCAAAAACATCCCCACAGCATGATGCTGCCACCACCATGCTTCACCGTAGGGATGGTGTCAGGTTTCCTCCAGACGTGACGCTTGGCATTCAGGCAAAATAGTTAAATCTTGGTTTCATCAGACCAGAGAATCTTGTTTCTCATGGTCTGAGCGTGTTTAGGGGCCTTTTGGCAAACTCCAAGCGGCCTATCATGTGCCTTTTACTGAGGAGTGGCTTCCGTCTGGCCACTCTACCATAAAGGCCTGATTGGTGGAGTGCTGCAGAGATGATTGTCCGTCTGGAAGGTTCCCCCATCTCCACAGAGGAACTCTAGAGCTCTGTCAGAGAGACCATTGTGTTCTTGGTCACCTCCCTGACCAAGGCCCTTCGCCCCCGATTGCTCAGTTTGGCCGGGCGGCCAGGTCTAGGAAGATTCTTGGTGGTTCCAAACCTCTTCCATTTAAGAATGATGGAGGCCACTGTGCTCTTGGGGACCTACAATACTGCCTCGACACAATCCTGTCTCAGAGCTCTACAGACAATTCCTTCGACCTCATGGCTTGGTTTCTTCTCCAACAAGCACTGTCAACTGTGGGACTTTATATAGACACGTGTGCCTTTCCAAATCATGTCCAATCAATTGAATTTACCACAGGTGGCCTCCAATCAAGTTGTAGAAACATTTCAAAGATGATCAATGGAAACAGGATGCACCTGAGCTCATTATCGAGTCTCATAGCAAAGGGTCTGAATACTTCTGTAAATAAGTTATTTCTGTTTTTAATTTTTGATAAATTAGCAAAACAAGCTAAAAGCCTGTTTTTGCTTTGTCATTATGTGGTATTGTGTGTAGATTGTTGAGGCTTTTGTATTTATTTAATCAATTTTAGAATAAGGCTGTAACATAACAAAATGTGGAAAAAGTCAAGGGGTCTGAATACTTTCCTAAGGCGCTGTAGTTAGCCAGAGACTTGACATAATACATCGGCCCAGTGAAGCCTGTAGTTAGTTGTCCAGTGTAACATCTAGTTTCACCATATTATCATTACAGATATTTCTACCAATATTTTAGTTCAATCAGTCTGGGATATAAAGTGATTATATGACTTATTTTTAAAAGAACTATGACTATACAATATGAATGACAAAACATAAATCTGACAAAACAGAATTTGTTAGTGTATACATCTGTCACGAATTCTGCCGAGACTGCTCCTCCTCCTTGCTCGGGCAGGCTTCAGCGTTCGTCGTCCCCGGAGTACTAGCTACTACCTCTTGATGTCTCGATGTTTGTTTGGTCTTGTCTTGTTAGTGCACCTGTTTCGTGTTATGTATTGATTAGGTCACCTATAAGTTTCCTTTAGTTTTGTTTGCAGTTGTGTGTGATTGTCCGCCTGTCCGTTGATGTATGGTATTTGTTCTCGTGTTTATAGTGTATTTACGCACTGTATGCGTAATCGCTCGCCTCCAGTGTTTGAGGCCCGTTATTTTGTATTGTCTTGTTGACTAGTAGAGTCGTTTTGACTGAGCTTCTGTGTCCTGCGCCTGACTCCAACACCTATCCACATCAGCTTGTGACAGAATCACACACCAATACTATGGAGTCAGCAGGAGCAGCGGCGGCGACCGAGTCGCTGGAGGATCGGGTCAGCTGCCAGGACGCCAGGATCCAGCAACTCGGCTCCGCCATGCAAGAGGTGATGAACACCCTGCGCCGATGGGAAAGGGGAGGCGTGCCCACACCTCCTCCTACCTTACCACCACCATCGGCCAGCCCCACCAGACCAGCTCCAGAGTCCAGTGGGATTCGGCTCTCGCTCCCGAGGGCGTATGATGGCACCGCAGCCGGGTGTCAGGGGTTCCTCCTTCAGGTGGAACTCTACCTGGCCACCATACACCCGGCGCCCTCGGGATACGAGATCGTTTCCGCCCTCATCTCCTGTCTCTGCGGCAAGGCGTTGGAGTGGGCCAACGCCGAATGGAGGGGAATAGACGCAGAGTTCTCCCGCCGCTTCAGGGCTGTGTTCGATCACCCTCCTGAGGGTAAAGCGGCGGGGGAGCGTCTGTTCCACCTCCGACAGGGGAAGAGGAGCGCACAGGAGTTCGCCCTGGATTTCCGGATTCTAGCGGCGGTTGTGGGGTGGAATGAGAGGGCCCTCATCGACCACTATCGGTGTAGCCTACGTGAGGACGTTCGACGAGAGCTGGCCTGCAGGGACACCACTCTATCCTTCGACCAGCTGGTGGACATGTCCATCCGTCTGGATACCCTGCTGGCCACTCGCGGACGTCCCGAGTTGGGGACATCCATTCCATCTCCCAGCATCTCCGAGCCTAGCCCTATGGAGCTCGGGGGTGCTGGCGCTAGAGAGAGGAGGAGAGAGAGCCCGAGGGGGGCCGTCCCCTGCACCAACTGTGGCCGTGGAGGACACACTGCGGCTAGGTGCTGGGGAGGGTCTCCAGGGAGTCGGGGCAACAGGTCACGCACTGGGGAGTCATTCCAGGTGAGTAGGCGCCCCACTCACACAGAGCACTCTGTTGTTCACTTGTGTATACCTGTGGTATTTCCTCAGGTTGCATCTCATTCCCAGCATAAGGCGCTAGTCGATTCAGGCGCAGCTGGGAATTTTATTGATCAGAAATGTTGTATTAAGTTAGGGATTCCCCT